GTAGGGACAGAGGAGGTCCCTGTCCTCAGGAGCAAACTACCTAGCTACTCATCAGCTGTTTAACAGTGTTTCTTCTGCTATAATTAGAAAAGAAGCATAGGTTATTAGCAATAAATCTGTGTGAAAGTGTCTCCAGTTACATTTATAACTCTTTGAATTCGGACACCAGAACCATGAATAGCTAATCTGTGACATCACGAGGTGAACTTTTCTTTGGTTGCCCAGGATGACAGGATAGCACTTTGATACGACAAGTGGCATTGAGTAGACACCCTTTGAAAAGCCTGTTTTGTGACCAGCCCTCTTGAGGGCTGAATGGGGTGTGAAAGAAAAGTAAAAACAAACAAGCAAAAAGCATATTCCCTATACTTGAATAGAATACAGCTTCATAGCTGGGGAGCTAAGACAGACATAAAACTATGGGTGTGTTGTGAGGGGCCTGTGCCTGCTACAGGGGGATTGGGAACTCCACAGGGAGGGAGGGAGGAAGAATGTGGGCCAGGAGTAATTAGGGAAGGCTTCATGGAAGAGGTGGCCTGTGTTTGTTTCCTGTTGTGGCTGTAACATACTAGCACAAATTTCATGACTTAACACAAGCTTATTATCTAAAATTTCTAGAAGTTATGAGTCTGACTAGTTCTCACCAGGCTAAGAGCAAGGGGTTGACAGGGCTACATTCCTTCTGGGGGACCTGGAGGGGAGAACCTATTCCCGGCCTTTTCCAGCTTCTAGAGGCTGCCCACATTCCTTGGCTTGTGGCCACTTCCTCAGCCAGCAAAGGCAGGCTGAGTCCTTCTCATGACACCATCTCTCTGACTCTCTGCAGCTGGGAAAGGCTCTTTGCTTTTAAGGACCCTCGTGATTACATTGGGGCCACCTGGAGGATCCAGGCTCATCTCCCCATCTCAGGGTCCTTAACCGTAATCACATCTGCAAAGCCCCTTCACCACGTAAGGTTCCAGGGACTAGGACGTGGGCGTTTTCGAGGGGCTGTTATTCCACCTATCTTGCTTCCCTTGAGCTGGTCCTGGACAGAGTTGCTGAGGTCCTCTTTTTAGGAGGTGTTGATCTTGAGGGTATATGTAGCTTGCATTCATGCTGGGGGGTGTGCGGGCAGTGAGAACCAGAAGTGAGGAGGTCGGGGAGAAGCGGACTCAACATGAGATCCAGATGGTGGACAGCTTGTCAGTGCCAGGCTGGGGAATTTGGGTGTCGCCCAAGAGACTGTGGGAAAACCACTGAGGCATCTTCAGAAGCAGAATGACAGGATACATTTGCTTTGGGGGTGATAATTCTGGGAGCAGTGTCTTCAAGAATGCAGGAAGGACAAAAGGCATCAAGAGAATCGACAGAGTAACTCAGGGGTGGCAGGTGGTGCCTAAAGGGTCAGGTGATGATGGGAAGGTCCTCCAGCATTTCTCCAGGGGCTGACACTTAGTACCTGCTCACTAAAGGTGGGTGGAATAAATGAATGATAAAAACCCCAATGACTTTTCTTGGATCTCCTGAAGATCCCAAGCTGTATTTAATACGCCTAAAAAAATCTAAATAGAATTTCTCACTTTTTTCTTTGTCATTTTGCTGAATTATTTCTCCAGAACAGGAATCCCCGATTCTTTCCTGAATGCCTTGTCCCGCAGAGATTCAGACTTCAGTAGCTCTGCACCAGACACTCGCTTCCTTTAGATTTCTGATTGTTTATATTATGAAGAAAAGATTTCAATTTATGATTTTCTTTTTTTTTTTTTTCTGAAAGATCCGTTCTTTTCACAGGAAGAGCCCCAAAGGAATTGACTTCAGGAACGCAATGAATTTACTTATTATTATTTTTGGTCGTAGCTTCCCTTTCCATTCTGACAGTGCTATGTTTTCAGATGACTTCTGCACAGGTGAAACTGTGAATTATCAGAAATTAGAATTTTGAATTCTAATTAGAAGTCGCCGTGTTTAATGTAGGGATTTCTGCAGAGTTGGACAACACAGGCTGCCCGGAGCTGCAGTCTCAGCTTGAGATGCATAAGGCTCACTTGGGGAGCTGGTTAAAGCGAGAGATTTCTGGCTTCACGTGATTCACGAGGGCCCTAGCGATATGAACTTCAAGCACCCCAGGAATCCTGATGTAGTTGGTTTCAGGGCCACCCTTGAGAAACACGGGCTTGGATACTGGCAGAATCAGTGTCAGGAGAGTGTTGATGAGCCCGGGAGGTCACGTGTGCTGCGGAGAAAGTGGACGTGGTTAGGATCGTGCAGTGTGAGAGGAGAGAGTAGCCCAGGGTTGGAAAGGAGGATCCCTCAATTCTTCTCCAGTAGAAGCACTGGTGGCCAGGCCAGTGAAGTCCATGCCACAGCCCCATCCTTCCTGATGACCAGCCCAAGCGTCGTCCCCCCAGTGCACATCCTGGAAGCATACCCGTCAGAGGACTCTGAATGTTGCCAGTGTTAATGGTAGGAATGAGGGTGGAACAGCCCCCAGTGGAAACCAAACAGCACCCCATGGAATGGTGCCTCTTGATCTGTCACCTTTCTGTGCTACTGCTTTATTTATTTAGACATCTACACCCCTACTTTCTTCCAAAAATATTAACAGCGGGAGCTTAACTTGGCATCTTCACAATATGTGGTGCGTATTGTGCATTTTTCTGGAGAGAAGGTGATTTGTCTTCATCACGTGCTCAGAGGGGTTCAGGACCACAAAAGAGTTGAGAAGTAACAGATTTTAAGTCCTTAAGAAGACTGTTGAGTGTGACCCTAAACGCCCCTGGACTTCAATGTGATATTGGCTGATAACAGGGAAGCATGAGCTCAGGAGAAAGCTGGCGGCGGCTGTGCTCTGTGGGTGCAGCGCGCAGCTGGGGGCACTCCTGGCCCTAAGGATAGGGGCTGGCGGTTCAGAAGGCCGCTCTGGTATTGAAATGGAAGTTATTCAAAAGGCGTCTGGGAGAATCCTGAAGAAATAATTTCAGATACAGTTGATGTCCTTCATTCAAACCAGGAGCACATGCCTCCCCTTGCTCTGGGGGAGGAGGGGGCGGGGAGGGGAGGTGGGGAGAACAGCGGGGATGACAAAAGGCAGGAATTTTGAATTCGCTTTCTGCCATGTTGCCTTTTTCCATCCTTGATGGAAAGGTTTTACGTTCTGTAATCTGTTCTTCTAAAGGAAAGTCTGTGCCCCTCATTTTCCTTGTCCGTTAGGCCCTGAGATTTTTTATACGACTCACCATTTGTATAATCCAGGCACGGTGACCCAGACAGGATACGGTTGTAGTTCTAGGAGGGACAATGAGATAGACAAGAGTCGTAGAATGTATTTATGGCATCAGATTATCCATAGGTAATATTTTTACTGTACGTCACTATTCAGCGTTTGTAATACATGGCAGTAAGAGTGCAATATGTTAAATCCTAATTCCTCCCTGATGAGTGTAGTGCGTAGACTTACAGAGGAAGGTTAGTATTTTTTTGCAGTGAAATAAAAGGGAAAAGTGCTGGGATCAACAGTGTGTCCAGAGGTGTGGATAAAAGATTACTCCACAGCAGCAGCGTAATTATCACCTGGCTTAAGAAATAATCCATGTGTAAATGGTTTTTAGGGTGACAGTCATTAGCCGAATAAGACAGACCCAGTTGGATCACCTTTGTCTGAATTCAGAAGTCCATTCTGGGAGCAGGAACTGGCAGAGAAGCTACTCCTACAAATACAAAATAGTAGGCTTGGTTTGCATGCATCGGGGAGATTAACGTTCACGCCTTGGCTGCCTGGGGGCAGTAACTGGCTTCTTAGTTTGCCTGTGATCGTAGTCGTACCAGATGGAGTAATGTTTGCCTTCTCCCAGACCAGGGAGAACCAGCATTCCCTCCTGGGCTTGATGGTGGTCAGGAAACCCAGGGCTTCTCTTCACGTCCTATAGAAAGGCTCCACGTGGGACCACGCTGTCATCTTTTAGAATGAGGGCCTCCCCGTGACAGAGCAGGGAACACATATGTGCATTTCCTAGAACCTGGGATGGGGGAGGTGGAGGGAGAAATTGGAGTTAGGAGAGACAGTTGTCGAAGACCGGTGGCCTTTAGAGTGGGTGGTGCAGATCCTGGAAATGTATGAGTTATGGCATCAGCAATGGGACTACATCCATTTCAGGCCACTAAGTTATGCATTTTACTCCACGTAACTAAAAAACACGCGGCCCCAGGCAAGAGCCCGGCTGCGGTCCTAGCCAAATAGCAGCACAAGCAGCATCTTAGAACCTCAGAAAGGTCTTTGAGGAGCAGTTCATTCTGGAAGTGGGCTGCAAACTGAAATGATTCTCCATATCCTTCCTAGATGGCCTTTCTCGCTGACGAATACTGCAGCTATTGTCAAGACATTTTACAGAACGTGAAGAACCAAGAACTCGAGAGAGAGTAGGTTTTATCTGCAAAATACCAGCATTTATGACTTGTTCTTAACATTTCTACTTGAAAAGACCCCTCGAGGGCTGTCTGGTGGGAATTCATTGACTGAAGTGCTTAGAATGCAGCTATTTTATAGTCAGTGAGCTCTTGAAGGTGCTATTTTTATTCAGTTTAATCATCTGGAAATGTTCCAAGGTGCTCATACGGATCACTTTACACTTTAAATAAAAATTCAGCTATTTTTAGATCCTAATGCCAGCTGATGTGGAGTACCGTGTTGGTAAAATGTGATTTACCCTGGAATTCTCAGTGCTGCTTCAGAGCCGTTATCGATACATGCTGACTGACGTGGGTATCGTGATGATTGGATTTTATTCTAGAATTGACTGTGGAAGACACGAGTAAATCTCTTAACCATTCTGAATTCTGTCTTTTGCTGTATAAAATGAAAATCCAGGGAAGCAAGTGCACATTTAAATGAAACGTTTTCTGAGGCCTCCGTGTTCTAAGCACTTCAGCTTTGGGAGATAATACTCACTCAGCATGAACGCATTTTGTACTTTGTGTAAAGCATCGGAGTGAGGGAGGGACCACGCTGTCTTCAGAGTGGCCCCTGGCCTATTAATGCCGTGTTATAAACATCCATGCACGTTGGATAGCTAATCCATTCCTTCTTGGAACTTCCCTGGTGGTCCAGTGGTTCAGACTCCGCCCTTCCAATGCAGGGGGCGTGGGTTCGATCCCTGGTCAGGGAACTAAGATCCCACATGCTGTATGGCGTGGCCAAAAAATTTTTTTAAAAAAATCTGTTCCTTCTTGCCTTCACTGCTTCATCAAGTACTACCTGAATTCTTACCCTGTGACCAGCACCGTTTCTGGAACTAGGAAGGTATTCCCCAGCAGGCTGGAGAAGCTTATAGTCTGGTACTGAAAGGAACGATGTAAACCAATGAACATGATACCGTATGGAAAGTTCTAGAACACAGTGTGATGGACTCTTCTGGGTGCCCAAGGGAAGAGGAACAGAGACAGCTGGAGCGGGCTCCCCGGGGGAGGGAGGCCACGTTGCTGACAACTGTCTTAGAAAAGCTGAAGTTTAACAGACTCGAAATGGGGTAGAAAAGGGATTCCAGGTGGAATCAGTGGTGCAGGCAAAGGCAGCAGGATGGTCACCGGCATCACAGGACAAGAAGGTCGCTGTGGCCAGATTTATCTCGAAAGGAGAGAAGCCAGAGGGGAGGTGGGAATCGGCCGGTGCTAGGAAGGGCCTCTGGAAGACCCTGACTTACTGAGGAGACGGGTTGGCAGTGACATCCAAGGGCCATATTGGAGAGGAGGTTTTGTCGCAGTCAAGGTGAGAAGGAAGGAGGGTTGGATCGGGAGATCCAATGACAGTGACATCAGAGAGAAAGCGGGACCAATCAGAAATATTTCTGAAGCAGACGCACGGGAATTAGATGATTTGGGACATGGATGCTGGGGGAGTGAGCGGAGGTGGTGCTGTCTCATCCAGACCCGCGAGCCCCAAAAGCCTCCAGCCTGGGAGTCGAAGGATTAACACATCCTGCTTATCCCACTCTTGTCTTTTTCGTTAAGTATCTATGAGTCTCTTGGGAGACGTCTTCTCTAGAAGAGAGTTTAAAATCAGGTAACTCCAGGGTCGGGCCTCACTCCCTTGACAGCCTGCACAGAAGGAGCAGCCTCTTGCCTGGGGTCACTGGAGGGCCCTGGGGTCAGTATTGTGATGTCTCAGAATATCTGAGCTGCGGGAATCCCCAAAGGCAAGAGTCCTCATGAGCTGACAACTCAGGTTGGCCACCTGGTCCAAAGATGCAATGTGAAAAGTCAGCATGGGGGGAAACAGAACAGAAGTTGTCCACAGAAGTCTTTAAAGAAGGCTCCTTGGTGCGACAGAATCGCACCGGTTCCCTTTAGTCTACACCGTCCTTAGGTGAATTCTGACATGATGTCAAGGAGGAAGTGTCTCTTTTTTTTTTTTTTTTTTTTTTTTTTGGTTTTTTTTTTTTTTTTTTTTGGGCTCGCCCCTCCCTTTGTTGCTATCTGATCCTTGAATGCATATTTCATGGCTAATGCCCAGGGTGTCTGTTATCAAACCATCATTTGTTTTTTTTTTTTTTTTTTTTTTTTTTTAGTATTTTTTTTTTTTTTTATTTCGGCTGCACTGGGTCTTAGTTATGGCGTGCGAGCTCTTAGTTATGGCACGCATGCAGGATCTAGTTCCCTGACGAGGGATCAAACCCGGTCCCCGTGTGTTGGGAAGGTGGAGTCTCACCCACTGCCCCACCAGGGAAGCCCTTTAAGTTTTTTTTTTTCATTTTAACCATTTTTAAGTGTACTGTTTAGTAGCATTAAGTACATTGACATTGTTGTACAACCATCACCACCATCCATCTCCAGAACTTTTTCATTTTGTAGAACGGAAACTCTGTACCCATTAAACAACGGCTCCCCATTGTTCCTCCCCCAGCCCCTGGCCCCTGCCATTTCTACTTTATTCGCGGCATGTGGGATCTTCCCGGACCCGGGCACGAACCCGTGTCCCCTGCATCGGCAGGTGGACTCTCAACCACTGCGCCACCTGGGAAGCCCCCGAGGTATCCTTGATTCCATACGGTTACACCTCTTCCTGAGCTGAAAAATAATTGAGGGAGTCAGTCAGTCAATGAAAATTTATTCTAAACTCTGGTTTGTACCCCTGGGGCCCTGATCCTCATCCTGTTGTAATCAGTAGGAGCCCCCTTGTGGTCAGAAACAGCCTTCCTTCCCGAAGACTGCCTCAGGAAAAGGTGGTCCACGTTCTCCCACCCAACTGGCAGGTGGTCTCTGATGGGTGTAAAGTCACTTCTGAGATACAGCTTGGAAAAGCCAATAGGCAGAGCTTTACATGGGTTGGAATGAAATTCATTCTGTTACCATTTGGGGCTGATGAAGAGTGGGGGGGCAGGTGGGCTGGACTGGCCTCACCAGGCGCAAAACGAGCGTTCAGAGATACGTTCTGTTCTTTACATCGGGTGGAGGACTCACTCACGTCCTTCTGGAAATCTCTGGAGCAGGACACGGTCATGCTCATGTCATTGCCTGACGTGTGCCAGCTCCTTAAATGCTACGGCGGACAGCTGTACATAGGAGGAAGCTCCTTCGAGGTGCTGGTTTGAATCCTTCCCAGAAATTGGTACCAGATGCTGGGGTTAGACCCGCAGCCCTCACTCTTGGCGGTGTCCGTGGACCTCAGACCTTCTGAGGAGGCAGTCGTGGGGCCCATGGACCGTGAGCCTTGGATCTGTCCCTAAGACTCAGCTTTTCTTTCTGAATTCACTGAGAATCTGAGTTACCTCATGTAGAGAAAAAGCCAGTACACATGGTGACCTGTGGCTCTGGGGACCCGTGAACCCTGAACTGAGTCAGCGTTCTTCCTCTGACATTTCAGCCAAAAGAGAGCTTTTTAAAAGGAGTGATTGGAGTAGTTGCTTTGCATTATATATAACTGCCAGGCCTTGTGGGTTTGTTTTTTAAGCTCTGGAGTGATTATTGTAGTTTGGGGGTCAATTATATATAATTTCTACAGTGAAAATGTGCTCCCCTTAAGCTAGTCATGAACTTTTACCTTTTATTTTATTATTTTCTTAGGAAAAAAAAAAAATCCAGGGCTTCTAAATTTTTACCGCAAAGGTTGAAAACTGGAGGCTGGGTCCAGCCCTTAAATATTTTGGTTTGAACTCCCCTCCTGCCCCCCACCCCGAACTGGCCAGCATTTGGGGTGTTTAAATTTTTGAATCAGTTATCGATACTTGGAAATCTTGGGAAGAATTCCGATTCCAGCTTCTCCAGCCTGATGTCCTGCCCAGTGGGCAGTGGCCAGGGCTGCGAGGTGGCCGAGCCCTCGGCAGGTGGAGACCTGGCCTCTCTCTCTGTCTGTGGCTCATGTGACCTGCGGCCACTCGTAACCAGAGGCTGTCCACACCGGCCGGCAGTCACATGTCTTGACACTTCTTTTAGGCTGCGTCGTGTCTTAGTTGCGGGCCGCGGGCTTAATTGCCCCGCGGCGTGTGGGATCTTAGCTCCCGGACCAGGGTTCCCAGGCTTCGAACCCGCGTCCCCTGCATTAGAAGGTGGATTCTTTACCACTGGAACACCAGGGAAGTCCCCGTCTTGACACTTCTATTGTAGTGAATTGAAGATGTTCTCCTTTTTGGAAGATGTTTCTATTCAGCATCTGAAATCTGTCCAGTTGTTTAGTAAGAACTGTAAGCTGTGGTCCCTCACTGCTTTGGAAGGTTTTCCAGCCCTCTTACAGATCTCCAAGCTCAGAGGTAGGTTTCGAGGGACAACATAAATGCTGTGAGAGTAGATGAGCTTTCCACGTGGGGCAGGCCTCCTCCCCTCTTGTGTTAACTCTGTCCTCAGGCACTAAACTGCAGTCCACAAGGCCCGGCCGCTTCGGCTCTCCAGTCTTTTCCTGTAGTGCCCACAAGGGATGCTTGTGCTGACACATCAACACCCTCTTACCATTTCCCCCTTGTGAATCGCAGCGGGGCCAAGGGAACAGGGAGGTAGGAAAGGGCAAGGGGTAGGCGGGCCGTGCCTCCCCTCTCTTGAGCCAGCTCCAGGCGGCAGCTGCAGTCCTTAGCTCACTGCCCACCCAAGCAGGGCCGGCAAGGGTTCCGACCCCAGCATCCTCCCGCCTCTCTGTGCTCTGGGTGGGCTCCCGCGAGGCTCAGAGATTATCTCGCCCTTCTTAGAAATTCCGCCCACGTGGTCCCAGTCACCCTGGTGACTTTCCCCTCCATCCGGCTGCCAGGGTGCAGTGTCTGAACACTTCTGCTGTCGCAGAAGGCTGTTCGTCCGCTCAGGCCTGCGACGGCTTCCTCTTGGGAGCCCGAGCTGTTCTGCTGGCTGTCCCCGGCCTCCCTGCATCTGACCCCTCGGTATCCCTCCAGCTCCCTGGCCCTTGTGAACGCCAGCACACACCCACTGTGTGGGTCGCGTGTTTTACGGTCCTGAAAATTCCCGGTTTGCTCCCTCCTGCCTTTGTGAGGTTCTCCATCACTGCCTGTAGCTCTCCCGGCCCGCCAAGCCCTCACCACTTCCTTCCCTTCCCCTCTGTCGGTCTGCCATGCTTGCACCCTGTGCACTCTCTCCCCCGAGGGCCTGCAGAACAGGCCACGTCTAATCTTCACCCACGCCTGGCATCCCCAGCATCCCGGGCTGTGTTGATCCCTTTCTGACCCACTTGGAAAAGTCCACGTGCCCAGGCTGGGCCCTTGGGCCCGTGTGATGGCCAGCCAAGAAGGCAGCAGGAAGGGTCCTGCAGAGAGAAAGTGAGGTCTGGAACTTGCTTGGAAAGGGGGCGCATGAAAGGGGTCCAGTTTTCCGGTGGCCCCTTCACCACCTGCGCTAATCCCAGCCCTTTGGCTCTCCAAACCCCCTCTAGGATCTTCAGTAGCTTCCTAGTTGACGGGCCTGCCTGCAGCCTTGCCCCGCCTCGGTCACGCGCCCTTCCCCTCCCAGCAAGTGCTCTATAACAGCGATTCCATCAGTTAACAACTGTCCACGGCCCCCATTGCCCGGATGGTCCTCTCTCCTTCACTGCTTGGCCTCTGGCCCAACCCTGTCCCCCTGGCCCCTATGACCCACTGGTGTTCCCCAGCACCACAGGCTGGTCGTCCCCAAGAGGCTGGGGATGCTGTCCTACTGCTGTCTGTGCCTAGTCGCCCCCACCCCCCGCCCCGGCCATTGCTCCCTGCCAACTCCTACCTACGCGTTAAGGCCCAGGCAGAATGTCCCCTTCCGGATGAAGCCGTCCCTGATACCTTCTTCCGCTAGAACCGCTCACTTCCTTCTCCCTGTGTCTCACGTTGCCGGGAGCACTTACTCTGCTGTTGGGACGCTGTTTGTGCTCCTGGTAACCTACCCTTCGTGGGGAGCCCCTGGAGGGTGGAGGTCATTCCCCTTCATCCAGCCGTGCAGCCAGCACCCAGCAGACGCTGCACGAGTGTCCCCGGTAAGTGAATATGTGAATAAATGAGTACATCCAGGAGAGCACCTCCTCTCTCATGTTTTCTCATTTCTGATCGTTTCCCGAGGAGAGCATGTAGAGACGAGAAGCTGGGGGAAGTCAGGGTTCCTGGGCAAAATCCTCAACTTCACGGAGCACACGGCAGACGCTGGAGGACATCACTTTCCTGGCATTGCGCGAGTGGGGGGCGGTTTAGTCAATGCGCCCTTGCCAGGATCTCGGAGCCACTTGGGAGGGGCGAGCGGGCAGGAGGGTGGGGAGGCTGGGGGCCTGGCTGGGTGGGGCAGGTGGACGGCTCTGCCCTCCTGGGCGGGTGGGTGCGCCCCCCCGTGTGTGCTGCCTGCAGGCGCCTCCTTGTCCCTGCCTTCCTGCGTGCAGACCTGAAGTTACAGCATCAGTAATGGGCGTGTGCATTGTTCTTCACAGAAGTTACTGTGTTTGTCAAAAGACTGAGAAGAAAGACATACCTTTCCAACATGGCAAAGGTAGGTTTCAGGCAACCAGACAGGAGGGAACAAAGCAGCTTTCCCAAAGCGAAAAGTGCAGGCTGCCAGTGTCCCTCAGAGCAGGCAGCAGGCCCTGTGCAGGGAGGCCGGCCCACCCACCTGGAGGGCAGAGGACAGCCTGCTGGGTCCCAGGTGCTCAGCTGGAAGCCACCCCTCCTCCCTCCGGCCTCCAGGCTCTGCCCCTGGAGGAGAGGGTGCAGGGCCAGCAGCTCAAGGTTCTGAAGTTCCAGAGGGAGGCCCCCCAGGAGTGGCGCCCCGGGCAAGCCAACGTCAGAGGTGGAAGGGCATTGTAGCAGAGCCTAGGACAGACGGGCAGGCAGGCAGACCCTGCACGCTGTGCATATGGCCCTGCGGACTCTGTGTGTCGGGGCCACCAGGTCCTCGGCTCCGACCTTCTCACTCCTGGCTGTTAGGGGAGGGGAGAGAGGGGCTGAAGGAGAGGTTCTAGGATCTGTTCTGAAATCCCGCGGCGGCAGATGGGGACGGAGCCTGGGACCGGCCCTCTGCCCCAGATCAGCCCTGGCCAGGGGGGCGCCCAGCCAGGGCCGCCCTTTGACCATCTCCATCCTCCACCAGTAGGGTTGTTTCTCCTTCTGAGCTAGAGGCCCATCCGGTTCTGGGCACTTTCACCTTCCCGACTGGGGCGATGGCAACGACCTTGCAACATGACCTCCATCCCTACCCACTGGAGCGGCCGGCTCAGGGTCCAGAGCCTGGCCTGCTGGGAGCCATACCTTTACACTCACTGTTCCAGGAGAGTTTACTGAATACCCAAGGGCCCCTTTCCTCTCCGTAAAACAGACATGGCTGTACTGCCTGCTCTTGGGGCTGGTGTGAGGGTGACTCACCGCTCGTCCTGCAGACCCTGAACACGTAAGGGAGAGGTTTGTCCCATTGGACAGCGGAGGCCCAATTCACTGCCCCAGGCTCCCCAGAGGAAGGACAGGAGAGCTTCTGAGTCCCCACAGCCATCCTGTAGAGGCCACCCGCCTTGTTGCTTCTCCAGAACCGCACTTGGCTGGCAGAGCCCAGTTAACCTACCGTTTCCCTCTCTAGAGAATTTAGGCCCCTTGCTCGGGGTGTAAAAAAGAGGGAACTGCGAGGAGGAGCTGCAGGGCCCCGAGACGTCTGCCCATGAGCAGAAGCATCCCAAATGCCGACTTTCTGAAAGGCAGTTCTAGAATGTGTGCAGTTTGAACATTTTGATTGTCATTTAGGATTCAGGGTTTTGTTTTGTTTTTTTGCGGTACGCGGGCCTCTAACCGCTGTGGCCTCTCCCGTTGCGGAGCACAGGCTCCAGATGCGCAGGCTCAGCGGCCATGGCTCACGGGCCCAGCCGCTCCGCGGCACGTGGGATCTTCCCGGACCGGGGCACGAACCCGCGTCCCCTGCATCGGCAGGCGGACTCTCAGCCACTGCGCCACCAGGGAAGCCCTAGGATTCAGTTTTAACGGGCAAAAATACCCAAATCCACTTTTCTTTCTCTTCGACAGCAAGAAAATTCTGGTAATTTGGAGAGGGGGCATTAGGCCAAAGTAAGATGACAAGATTTCACTAAGTGTAGCGTTTGCCGTTTGTCTTTAGACCATGAGAATGGTGCTGAAAAACAGCAGGAGAGTCAGCATCCTGAAATTGGATCTACACGCCATCATGCATCAGGGTGCTTTGGATATTTCCGAGAAAGCCCTGACGAGTAACCCGAGCGGCACTGACGACCTGGAGGGGAACACAGAGGTGAAATGTAATCCTCCTTCCTCAGCTGCTTGGTTGCAGTGTTTGGTATGTAATGAGGGCTGGTATGGCCATCACTGATCTATAGGTTTCCTAATAGAATTAGAACGGTCCTCTTGGACGTTATAATTTACCTGCTCGCACACCTCTTCCTGCAGAAGGTGAGGAGTGCCCCGAGAACCCTCTTCCAGGGCCTGCCCTGGGGTCCACAGTGCCAGGACATATTTGCCGAGTGAGTGTGGTTGCTGATCGACCATATTTCTTGTCTCCTTTGGAAAACCCTCCTGCATCCCTCTTGTAGCTGCACAGATCGCCTCTTTGGGCCTGAGAGGGGTTGACCTAGCTCTCTGCCTTGCCAGTTTCTGCTCTAACTCTAGTTTTGTTTGTTTGTTTGTTTGTTTGTTTGTTTACGCACCCTCACAGCTTGTGGGATTTTAGTTCCCCGACCAGGGATTGAACCCAGGCCCACGGCAGTGAGAGCACAGAGCCCTAACCACTGAACCGCCAGGGAATTCCTGCACCAAGTGTTATTTTTAGCAATGTGAAGTTTAACGGTGGTGCTTTGACCTTATTTCACTACTTTACAAACAAGAGCTATATGAGCCCGTGAATATTCGTGCCCTTTGCTATTGTCCGGGAAAGGGGGAATTTCCCCCTCTACCCGTCTTGAGTTCTCCCGGCTGGACTAATAATCAACCTGGCGCAAGACAGGTTCACATGAGAAAAAGACACAAATTTTAATTCATGTGCACAGAGGTCTTATAGAAATGGGACCTAAGAAGTAAGTAGGCAAAGAAACTTGGGTTTTGGGGTGCCCAGTCAGTGAAGAAACTAAACAGAATTGGGGCTTGGGTAGTAAGTCAAAGAATTAACATGGTTTGGGACTTCCCTGGCTGTCCAGTGGTTAGGACTCCGTGCTTTCATGGCCGAGGGCCTGGGCTCAATCCCTGCTCGGGGAACTAAGATCCTACAAGTTTGGCGGCGTGGCCAAAAAAAAAAAAAAAAAGTAACATACATGGTTTGTTCTCAGCCTGAATTCCCTGTCTCTGGGGATAAGGGTGTCTCTTTACATCCTGGTGCCAGAAGGGCACCTTTCACACGGGAGATTTATTTCCTGTTTTCAGGGAGACCGAGGGGGAGGGTCAGTGTCCTTCCTGTGTTGGCCGCTTCTTAAGTAACTTTTCAATCAAATTAACCAATATGCCACTGAGGCACATTTTGGAGCCGCGTACTCTGGGCCCCGACACTATCTGACAGTTGTAGTTAATCTTAAGGAAGAAAATCTCCATTCTGACGCCAAAATCTGGCCTCTGTACACTGGTGCCAGATTAAATCTCAGAGTTGTGAGTGAAATAGAAAGAAATAGCTTTATTGCTTTGCCAGGTAAGCGGGCCACAGCGGGCTCATGCCCTCAAGACCGTGTGTCCTGCCCTGGAGGGGGTTGTGAGGAGTCTTATAGCGGTCAAGGAGCAGGGCGTGGTCAGCTCGTGGACACTCCTCTGATTGGCTAGTGGTGAGGTCATCGGGAGTCGGCATCATCAGCCTTCTGGTTCCAACTGGTCTGGGGTCTGTCTCTGTGCTCGTGGGCAGCAGCCAGTTAACTTCTCCCACCTGGTGGGGGTTTCAGTATCTGCAAAACAGCTGAAGGAACAGGGCTCAGAGTATTCTCTAGAGTCCTTGAGGAGGAACTAAAGGTCCCTGACTGTGTTTAATGCCTAAAGTATTATTTTGTCTTGCTTGCCTGTTTTCCTTTCTTTCTGCATTTTCTCACTTCTCTGATTAAATTTCTTCTTTGGCTAAAGTTTTTCTACAGACAAAAGGCAGGCAGAGGACACAGGTGGAGGTCTATTGTGGGAAGGCCCCGTAGGGTCCTGCCTCAGTCACAGTTCCACGAAGAGCTGGCTTACGCGTGGTTACATCGCTGCGAGGGGACAGTCACCACAGCAGGAGGCTCCCCCCTCAGGGGGAGCTGGGAGCTCCTTCAGGAGGGGCTTTAGACCAGTTACCACCTCCTCCCCCAGTCGCTAGGCTTTGGTCTGAGGGCTGCCGGGAGGGGTCAGCCATGCATAAAACTGTCCCCCAGTGCCTGAAGCCCCCTCAAGGTGTGGGCTGTGGGGCTTCATCACGGCCCGCCCAACACGGGGCTGGCACACGGGGGCACCTCAGCATTTCACCACCAGATGGCTGCGTGGATTCAGCGATGCATTAAAAGCACCGCAAAGTATCCTGTCCTCTTCCTCTGACCTTGGGGGGGGGGGGGCTGACTTGGTAGGATTGTACCAGTTATTAAAATAATGACATGGGTCCTTACTTGTTGCTAAGTAGCTCCCTCCCCCCACTGCTTGCCTGTCCCTTGATTATCTCCCCTGCCTCTACTGCCTGGCTGTCCCAAATCCCAGATCCTCCCCTGGGAGACTCCCCTCCAACCAGACCAGCAGCTGAAAGATGAACACCTAACCCAGCAGGCTTCAGGGCAATGGGAGCCCCCCTCCCAGGCCACTGTTTTCCCCAGCAATCCCAGCTGGCTGCCCAAACCTTGCTCTCACCACCAGCCCAAGCCCAGGGAGACCCAGGAGGCATGAGGCCTCTCCCCCAGGTGCCTGCCAGCCTGCCAGGGGCTCCTGGGCTCCTGTTGGCATCCTTGCGTGTCCTTTGCAGAGGGCGCGGAGCCGGCAGGGAGGCAGCATGACCCCTGGCAGACGAATGCCTGAGATGTGCCTGGAAGATCTTCCAGACGGAGCCTGACCAAATGTGCACCAGGGCCATGGCAGCCCACTGGGTTATCTAAATCTCCTTGGCACATGGGGGCTCTCAGACAGATGCGCTTCCACTGTCCTTCCACTCTCAGCGCTGCCTGTGCGGGTGCGGGACCCAAGTCCCAGTGTTGCACACTTGGGCTGCAGCCCTCGGGCCTGTGCTGACAGGGTCTGTAGCCCTGGGCAACTCACCTAACATCCCTCAGCGGCTTTGATGTCCACCATCAGTTAAAGGACTTGAACAGACTACCCCCTTTATAAAAATGGCAGGGATGGGTGAGGTCACGTCTGTATCCTGCAGTGAGCTCGCTTGGAGCCAGGCTCTGTGTGATTACAAGGTGTAGTTATGATTTCAAACTATTTCTTGCCATTTGAACAAGTAACCGAGAGGATTGCTAGAAGGCGAGACCACAGAGCTCTGAACCAGATGACCTGGGGTGACAGATCCAGCCCAAGGCAGCCTTTGTGTTCAAAATGAGGGCGAGGCCGCAGGGAATTCCTTTGAACTGCAGTGCGGATGTTATCCCCTAGGTCACCTGGGATACAAATACCTACCCGGAAATTCTGCTCTGCCGCTCACAATCTTGGGTTTGTTTTGTCTGTTGATAGGTTTGAGCAGTTTAATTTCTTTGCTGGCGATGTCAGCAGACCTCAGTGTATTCCTGAATTGTCTGTCTTCAAGCCTCCAAACATTTGTCTTCCAGGTACAAAACCATGATTTTTTTTTTTTTTTTTTTTTAAAGAGAAGGAGTGAGTGCGGGTCATTCTAGCTGTATTATAGCACTGAGTGCCCGGGACCTGGTGCAAAGGACAAGGTTTTCTCTGGCGCTCTGGACAGAAATGTGTCAAGGCCGGGATGGGGGTTCAGGTTGGGGAAGTGGTGTCTCAGAGGCTGGCACGTCATGCAACTCTGTGTGTGTGTGTTTGCTTGCAAGTGAGCACGTGTGCATATGTGAGCATGTCTGTGCGTGGGAGGGCCTGTGAGTGGGTGTGGGCAGGTAAGTGCTGATGTGCAGTTGAGTATGTGTGCACCAAGCAGGAGTGTTTAGGAGGGAGGTGGGTTTGTCTGTTTGGGGAGAATGGCGCTCATCTGGGGGTTTTGCAGACAGTCCCAGTAAGGTGTCAGGCTTGGGTTCACAAAAGCCAAGATGAATTGGTTTTGGACGTGGGCGGGTTTGGTCCTTCTGCTGGATGTGTCACTTGGACTTACTTCTCAGTAGGCCCGTTGGCTTGACTGTCATCATCACCCTCATCAGCAGTCACGTTACCAGATCAGGTCCAGCTGCTTGCAGCTCAAAAATCATACCGGCAGTCGGGGGAGACGGTGGACTGACTCAGTGTTCTCCAAAACCATCTCCGAAGATTCTGCTCAGCCAAGAAAGTTTTTAAAGCGGAAAAGGGAAGTCATCTCAGGTAATCACTGAGATGGGGGGGTCATAGTGGTCACCGTGCCCCACTGTGTGCAGGCTTGTCGACTTCCTGTGCCCTTTCTTTAGATGATATCGTGTTCACACAGTTCTTGAGATCACTGAAGGGCAAGCTGGGGAAGAGATCGGTCATCTGTTAATTGCTTCCTCATTTCTATTTCTTTGATCTATGGAAAGAACCAACAAGTTAGGCAAAGTATCATGTGATCAAAAGATTTGAAAGGTGTGCTAGGGCCAAAGATGAGTAGAGCATGGGGGCGCCTGGTTTGAGGTTAGTGACAAGACGAAGGGACCTCCTGCAAAGAGCTCTTTTCTGTCCAAAGCTGCTTACAGTCACCCTGTAAGAGCAGAGGATGCTGTCAGGGGAAGCCCCAGCACCCTGGCCCCAGTGGGCCCGAAACACGGGGCCTCCCTCCCCTCGAGGCATCATCCTCTGAAGGCCGAGGCAGCAGGAGAAGACCTTGACGAGGGAGTTGGGTTCCACTGGGAGGTGAAGGGCAGATAGGATTAAAATAAGCTGAGAAAGGAAGACACCGTTCCCGAGACAGGACAGCAGGAGTGGAGTGGGCGTAGGGAATAGGGAAAGTGGGGGACCGGTCTAGGGAAGAGGGGGACATCTCTGCAGCTCTCTGCAGCAAGGACCTGGAGGGCCTGGGACCAGAACGTGACTCGGGTTTTCTCCTTAAGCCTCCAGCCACATGTCTTCCTGCCCCCTCCATATCCCCCAGAAAACCCAGGAAGGAGCTGGAAAGCTGGTTCCAAGCCTTAGCAGGGATCTGTTTCCATTCTTTGCTCCTTGGATATGGTCTTTCCAGATTCTGTGTGGTTTTCATTCCCCCTCCTTGGTCCTCGGCAAAGCTCACTTGTACCAGTGGTAATGTGCGTGGGTGCATAGCTGCAGAGACAGCGATTCATTCGACAGGATGAAGCTCTCCATCCTCTGGTCCTTGTTTCAGACACTCACGCAGCCTCCATTTCACCCCCGCTGAGCCCACTGAGACCGTTGGTACCGGTCCTGCGTGCAAGACCTTGTAACGCGGTGTTTCCGTCCTCACCCCTGCAGCGTCACGAGTGAGGCGGCTTCGAAAAATGGTGGTTTTGTAACTGCCTGCCTTTGAAGGGCTTATTTTTGTAAAACAACCTAGCTGATAAAAAAACAAACAAACAAACAAAAAAACACAGACTATTGTCAATGAGATACTCAGACTGTTAAAATGTGAAGCCTCGGGCTTGTCCAAGATGACTAATGACCTCAAGTTGTTAGCATCTGGCAGAGCCAGAGGAGAGAAAAGCTCAGCTCTGTCGTGCTTCATTTGTTCCCCTGGTTCTCGTGCAGTTTGGGCCCAGGAGTCCTTTCTTTCTTTTTTTTTTTTTTTTTTCCCAGGAGTCCTTTCTGAATGTAGGAACCTGAGGTATCACGCTGCCGGCAAGAGGAGGAAAGCTGGGTAATGTCTATGTTCACTTGTGAATGTTTGTGCGGAGATCGCCCACAGCTCCTTCTCTGGATGGTTTGAGGAAGCATCCTTGTGTGTTTTGAACACCAGCAGGGCTGAGCCCCGTTCCAGGTGGTCCCAAGTCGTGGGGGGAGGATGCCGCTGCCGAGGGGAGTCTGTTCCCAAACCCAAGTTCACGTGCCTGACTCACAGTGAGGCCACACAAACCGAAAGGCTGGAGTTTGGAGCAGAGAAAGGTTTATTGCAGGGCCCAGCAAGGAGGCGAGGAAGATGGGTGGCTTGTGCTCAGAATACCCTGGGACTCCGGGAAGGTTTCAACAAAGCAATTTGAAAGGCCAGGGGAGGGGAGGGGCCGGGTCCCAGGGTGTGTGATCAGCTCGTGCACAATCCTCTGACTGGTTGGTGGTGATCAGTCCTTAGGCCCCAGTATGTCTCATGAGCATCAGGTAGTTAATTTCTTCCATTTGGTGGGGGGGATTTTAGCATCTGCAACTCTCAGGAAATATGCACGAGATACTATTATCTAGGTACGTCAGAGAGGAGCTACAGCAGTCATCATCAAAAAATCTAGAAACAATAAATGTTGGAGAGGATGTGGAGAAAAG